TCTGCAGCGTGCCGTAATTTTGCGGGCTATTTCCATCCTACCATGTAAGGAAATGCGAATTCCAAATATGGAATGATTACGTGCGTAAGCGTCCTCTAATAATAAAAACAAACATGGCTGCCATCAGGGTTTGACCGGACTCCACATAAAGAACTTTGCTGATTCTGTTCTAAACTTGGACGGAAAAGATGTATAATAATAAGGTTATTACGAGAATACCTCAAATTATGCACTCAGACAGTACGCCGCACATCGACCTCTGCTGTTGATACTCTGCTGTAATAACCTCATATTATCTTGCACAATTGGCATAAGTAACATTAACCACAATAAATAAAAAACTGTGCCTAGGCACTGTGCCCTGTATACAAATAGAGTTGCAATCGGAAACGAATAAAATAGAGGGTATTTATGAAGAGAAAATGGGGTAGCAAGTGTTAAAGGAAAATACAGTTTATTATTGTGGTAAAACATTTTTACAGGCCGTACGTCGCACTGTGACGTCATTTGGTTATATTCGCGCCGCGTGGACTTACCGGAAACCTTATAGAAACCTCGGAAAAGCAAAAAGATAGAAGCCCGGGTCGGGTCATTCTTGTTGCCAAGTTGACGATCATTGCTATTTTAAAAGCCACGCAAAAGTGTTCTTCGTATAATTAGGTACTTGTATGCAAGTGAATTCACCACACAAAACATAATAAATTCGGCCGAATTTGGTTAACGGCCAACACAGATAGTTTGACTGTGATTTTTTAGGTCATTTTTTTTAAGAGTCTGAATCAGCTTGTCTCATTATTTCTCATTATTTAGATTCAAGATGGCTGCCTCTATATAATAAATATCGGTAAATTGTCATACGCCAGCTGACAGTGGACTGGTGTTACCAGTAGTAAAATCACAATAGACGCTGGATGATGTTTGTCTCTGAAATTCGCTTTAAATTTATATATATTGTTATGGTATGTTACCTTTGTGCTGAGGGTATACAATGCTTGTAAGAAAATGCTGTAGGAGATGAATACTTTTTTTTATAACTCGCAAAGACATGAGCTAATTGTATTTGAATATATCATGTTATCGAACACCCAAATATTTGTTATATTATTGTAATAACACACTAAAGTATATATCTGGTCAGTTTTTACACATTAGCATTCAAATATAATATAATGTGAAAGCATTATATTTTTAGTGACATTCCGTTCTATAAAACTGATCTTATCCAAGCCCGCCACACAATAGGCCACTGTGATGGGTCACACAGGAGACAAGGGAAATCACATATTTTCCGTCAAGCAAATTTTAAATGATGCACGTGCAAATAATGTGATTGACCACGCAAGTTCACCAAATGACAAAGTATGCTGGTGGTAACGATGAGCACCAAGAACAGCTCCCCCCGGTTCGTTTCCTTATGTACTGTTTCCTATACAGCTTATCAGCAAATTCCGGCTCTAACTACTATTATAAGCTTCAAACCAAACAATTCTCAATAAGAATGTAAGCTAATTAATGTTCTTTGCACTTTCGAGGCAATGCTAAATTCATTGAAATGATTGTTATTACAGAGAACATATACGAATGTCACATCCAACCCTGGAAGTGAGAAACGATACCTGTTCCTGCCAGTACATTAGATGACAAGATAAAATACTGTATAGAAAAAACTTACCTAAGTTAAATGATACTATTATAACAGTTAGACACAGGGTACACAGAATAATTGTCTTTTTCATTGCAACCATTGCGGTACCAACATGAGCTAATACCAATAATGCCGAGTTCTGGATGTTTGGACTATTCAGATGTGCCAGCCGGTTAAGTTGTTACCCACAATTCTCACGTTGCCTGTAGCAAGCTTAGTAAATTGAATGTTTATTTGTTACAGATTAGGCTTGTAGCCATACATATGAATATTAGTAGTTTATGACACACTATAGGGAAACCATGAGGGCGCTGTTCACCATGTGATGGAATGACGTCATACGGAGTGAGATGACTTCACAATGGGGATCCGCGCATAAATGATGACGTCACAATGGGTACCGTGCATAAATTATCATAAATGTCGTACAAAGCCGTGAAGGGGGTCATTTGAATGAGGATGACGTCACAATGGAATACTGCAAATACACTTGCATAAATAAAATATATTTGAATACGAGGTGGTAACGAGGTCATCGTGAATACATTTGCATAAATTGCCATCATTTTTTTAATTATTTTTTTTAATTGGACGAGCATTGACGTCACGAAAGATTTTTCAGAATATATTGTAGAGGGCGCTCACACACACACACGTAAACGTACACACACACACAAACACACACACATACGCTCATAAATACACGTAATTTTAAAAACTAACGGAGTTAAGGGTAAAACTAGATCAGTTACATAGAATATTTTTTTTGAGTAAATAATCAAAAAAGAATGGATTAAAAACTGAGTATTATAAGAATAAGAATGATTTTATTAGGAGTAATATTAATAAGAGTAATAATAATAATATTGATAGTAATAAACATGAAATTTTAAAATGGTTGAAAAACATAGAGTATACATTTTCAAACGCGGTTAAGTATTCACACTGAGTAATATAAGAATACATTTGTTCTAACATGATAAAGTTTCAATTATAATTAAAAAAACGAGAAAAAACGAGTAACATCGAAAAGTCAATACACACTTTTTCTGATCAGAATCGCTCATCTGTGATAAAAAGAAAAAGAGAAATCGATAGTTATATAAAGAGAGTATACATGAGAAATTTCAAAAGTATAAGTCACCTAGTAAAACTGCGTGGGAAAAAATATCCGGTAAAGTTTTCGATATATCTGTTCAATAAATGTCATTCAAATGTCTATCACGCGTTAAAGAGTCAGCTACGGACTTCATAGGTTCCCCTCATATTGACCACACACTGTAGAGAATGGGGCTTGTAGTATTTGATGATTGTAGATCCATGAACAAACGTTTTTATCGAGAAATCTCTTAAATTCCACGTAATAGGGTTGACTACTGTACGCGTCAAAATATTCTTCGCGGTAGGGATCCTTCAGATAAAATGCTACCCAATGTGTCCCGCCCCCGCTACTGTAATCGGTGTTTGATACAAATGCTGTGGGATACTCCAAC